TCAACCTTGGCCAGATAATTGTGTGGGGAGGGGCACGGTATTACTGGGTGGTTTCCCGTGCATCCCGTGTAGGATGTTTAATGGCTGGCTACCCTGGTCTCTACCCACTAGATGCTAGTACCTCCTCCCCCAATAGCAATAACCAAAAATGTCTCCGGACATTACCAAATGTCATTGGGGTGGAGGCGTAACTGCCACAGTTGAGAACCACTGGTCTAGAATAGTGCTCTGCAGCCTTTGATCACACAGTCCTATAAACTGCTAAGTGTTTGTGCATATCTGCATATATATTTATATTACCCTGTTAATTTTATATATATTGTAAAGCATATACACAAAATAGAACTTTAATGGTAGAGATTATAAATAAGTGAAAAATTTTTTTTTCTGTAATTTCTCCCCCCTCTATGCCAGTATTCCATTGTGCATACTTAACAGTATGTCCCCCACTTTGGAGATTAGTGGTCTGAAATATTGGTATCCAGTCAGACTTGCTTTCCCGACAACGTGATGCCAACACTGTCACCATGTATTGGATGTTGGATGGGACTTTTCCTGTTGGCCATGCATTGGCCGCTATGGCCCTCAGCTGAACCAAGAGGGGTCTACCGTAAGACTTAGAGATGGCAAGATCTGCCTGACTGCCCTTGAAGGAAAGGCACCTAGTGCTGTCCGTTGGGTTCCCAGCCAAGTGAGGCTGAAAGGAAGTTAGGGGATGGACTGCTGCTGGGACCAGTATGGGAGTGCCCAGTGAGATTGAACACCACCCCAAGAAGGCTTGCACACCATCTACACTGAAATCATAACCTTTCCCGAGGCTGTTAATATAACACACAGCCAGGTGCACCCACAGCAAGACAGAAACCAGTTACATAAGACCACTTCACTCCTCTCTGTCCTCATGCCCAGAGAACCCTTAAAAGAAGGGAAGAAAAAGAGCAGACCAAGTACCCTCACGCCATACTTCCAGCTGGCAGTGCTGGAGGGAAGTTTTGAATGAGATTTGAGATTGAAGTTTAAGACGGGCCTGAATTTGAAGACCTGGAAGTTACCAGATATCTGTCCATGGTGTCATTGCTAAGAACGGGGGAATTCAGTAGAGGACAGCTGAATAGCAGAGATGGAGGAGGCCTGGTGGACAGAGCTAATGTCTTTTTCTGAATTGAGACTCAAAAAGCTCTGGGGCGCCTGGGTGGCTCAGTTGGTTAAGCGACTGCCTTCGGCTCAGGTCATGATCCTGGAGTCCCTGGATCGAGTCCCGCATCGGGCT